TTTTTTTTTTTTTTTTTTTTTTTAACAACAATAAAGAACACTATAAGTTATCTTCAAAGGTTTAAACAAAATAAGATATATATAATTTTAAAATAAATTTAATATACATCAATGCCGTATATATACCTCATTTGACTAAGCAAAAATAAACATGAAAGGTGAGTCACTGTTTTTTTTCCTTCTTTGGCAACGTTGAGTCATCCATGAATACTGTTAAGCGATGTAATTAAACAGTTGTTTAAATAGGAATTTTCTGGTTTTGAGTAGTTTGGAACATAATCTAAATATATTAATGACGTATTTTAATAACAAAGCAACCGTTACCATTAACAATCAAAAACAGATAATACTAAAAAAAGATACATAACGTGTTGTTAAACCTTGGTGGCAAAGTAAGGTGAAGATAAGGCAACACAACAAGACAGCTAGAACATTAATACATTGATTCATGGCTTGCAAGGTTCAGAGGTCCTTTCAAGAACTGCTTCCACCAAACCTTTTAGTGTTTTGAATTTGTATTTATTTATTTATTTATTTATTGATGTATCTTAATATATACTAATCTTGATTTAGTGGCTTAACTAACTCAGATTAGTGTAGAAACAACTACCGCTTAGTCAGTCTAATCTTATATTGTATTCTGATAACTTATGATAATGTTTGAATATTTTAGATGAAAAGGAAAATCTAACTTGTTGGTCGTTGGCAAAAGCAAATAAAATATAAGAAATGAACTTGGTCAATGAGGAAAATGTATGATTAGATTCATATGAACATAATAAATTTTTCTTTGTGGGTAGACTGTCATGTCTTTTTCACTAATTTTTTAAATATATTTGCTTATGTAAAACATGCATGTATTTTTTGTCGATAAAACGGCACTAATTCAAGATCCGGATAAAAGTTTAGAGAATGTCGTATATGCGAGGATAAGTTTATAATCTAGATGAAGGACATGATAAATTAATTGATAAAACCCGAAAATTGATATGATGCTTAAATAGTTTAATTAATTATCATCTAAGCTTCATTAACACTCGGAAAGACAAAGATAGGGAGGGACATGTGTCGATCAGAGGACTGAAGGGATAGCTGAACCTGAAAACATAAGAGAAGGTGGGGACTTGAAAATTCAAAAAAAAAATGCTTTTGATAGGAGCCTTGCACCTATCGCTACGTATGATTCAAGATATTGTTATATAATAACACAACTCTTTATTCCAATATTCAATATAAGTACTATCTCATCACAAAATGGCGTTTATTCATTTGTGTCCATACTATATTAATATTTACGCACATACAACATATACGTACGTTTAGATGAACGTGTTGTTGATCACAAGTGACATTGTATTGGAAGCGAAGCAAAGCAAATGTATTTTCGTATGTCGTACGTCTTTCCTCTAAGGGCCTACAATTATAACAAACAGTTTATTTTTCTGTCAGTGACTACGTATTAAATTTAAATATTTCCAACAAGATATATTGAAAATTACGATGAACTATATTCTAGAGTTGTTCTTGCTAACCAACATAAAATTCTAAAAATCAGTTGTGGACTTCGGGAAGGGTTTTTTTTGTCACAAATGAACTTCCAGAAGTAATTTGTACACAAAAAAATACACAATTTGGTAACTCGACAAAAGGTTGGTTCATCAATGTATTATGTAAACAAAACATGCATTATACCGAGTTTGAATCCAACTTGCTGGCACAACTACACTATCACACATATCATTTGAGTACTAGACTATAAATTCTGAACTTTTTTATACGTCTGTTAGCTGAATCAAAACTATCCAATAGTATTTAAAAACATATATTTAAATCACAAATCATATCTTCATCTCAAATTTACTCTAGTAAATAACCAAGGAAATAGATGAATTTTGATGGCACACTTAAAAGACTAAAAGAAAAAAACATAGTGTATAGTATTTTTCTTAGGACAGCAAACAACACTAAACCATATTCCATTTTCTTGAATTGGGACTCATTTTGATCCTTTGGAGCACTGCCTTTGTAAAGCAGTCTTGTGATGCTTCTAGAGCATCTCATACTTATACTTCAAGAAAAACATACATCTTCTACTGAATCGAATCCTTGGGAGTGGTTTTAGTATTTTTTAGTTTTTTTTTTTGAACACAAGTATTTTTTAGTTAATTAATCATTTTTACGGGTGGTACTCGTCGAGATTTTTGACTATATAGGATTGGTTTTGGATTTAATATGTATTTTTGGGTTTTCAGTTTATTTTTATATCCATTGAGATTCAGATTCAGTTCGGATAAAATTGTAAAAAGCAAAATTCATTAAAATATACTGTAAAACAAAACTCATTGAGGTATTTATGTAAAAGATTGTGATTGGTTTCGGTTTGCATTTCCTGGTCCGGTTTTTCTCCCACCCGTAGGTGCAACCGAGAAGGACAAGTTTAATTACATTAGAACCAGACACCTTCTATCTTCGCACAGACTCAAAATGAATCCCTCCTCTTTTGCCGGAGACGCTTCTCTTCTCTACTAATAAAAATAACCTCTTCTTTAGATCTCTACTACCCTCTTCAATCGAGGAAGGATCTTTCTATTCTAGTCTTCACTTGTTTAAACCTTTACGCCCACCATCTGTTTGCTAAAATTCCTCAGTGAAAGACACTTTTGGCTCTAGCGTTTAGGATTTGATTTAAACATTCGATTTTTTTTTTCTTGGTTTGAATTAAAACATTGGATTATTGCTTGTGTAGAGGTTACAAACTGTGTCCTAGTTCAAACTTACAAGAAACATGTGAGTGCTTAAGTCATGAGGCTTTGGCTTTTTCTTTTATGCTTTAGACATACGCAAACCGCTTTCCGCATGTCGGAAGTGGCAGAGCCTTACATCAGAAGAAGAGCAATAAGACATCTAGAAAAAGGCAGAGTTGTGATATTTGCAGCTGGAACGGGCAAAAACCCCCTTTTCACCACTGATACTGCAGCAGCTCTTCGCTGTGCTGAAAGTAAGTCAAAAGTATATTTTCTTCTTTTCAAGTTTCTCCAACTTTTTATTAACCTTCTCTCCTTTTGGACACAGTTAACGCAGAAGTAGTCCTGAAAGCAACGAATGTAGATGGAGTCTTTGACGATGATCCTAATTGAATTCCAAACGCTCGTCTTCTCGAGTCACTAACTTACCAAGAAGTTACCTCAAAGGATCTCTCCCTTATGGATATGTCTGCCATCACTTTATGCCAAGAAAACAACATTCCAGGTTTGCTTTTCTAACACACTCTCTAAAACATCATTCAAAATCCAACAAGAATCCCTTTGGTCTGTGGTTTTTACAGTTGTGGTAGTACATTGATTGGAGGAACTTGGAACTCTATCATCACAGCCACATGAGAAAAAAAAAACTACTACTTACTATAAAAAGAAACTTTAGAACTACTTCCTTATTATAGTATCTATAGGTCAGGAGAAAATCTACTTTGTCTAAAAGTTATAAGTATACATAACAAATGACACGAACCTCTTCTTTAAACCCTTTGAGGCTTTTTACAATCAAAAACTACATTCTAAGGTCCCCAAATATCTCTACAGACATCAGCAAACGTTGGAGAAGCAACCAAGCTTGCAAAACCAAACGGGCTCATTAACCCCGCCGGCGAAAACCATCCCGGCTGAGAAAATATTCCGGCGGAAGCTGTCGGTAACATAGCTGGAGAAGGGGAGAGTATCCCCGGCGCATAGCCACTGAACTCAGCTGCTTCTTCCATAGCCGTCGAGATTTCCACCGTCGTCTCCGGTTCCTTTCCTCCTCTCGGGCTAGCATTCTCCGTCGCGGCGAGTCTAGCCGCCGGAGACACATCACCGCCGTTACTTGATTCGAGGAAAACGGCGGAGGAGATGCCGGTGAGACGCTGGACGACGTTCATGAAATCTGAGGTTGTGGTGTGGACGACTTTCGGAGAGACGGCGTAGATGACCACCGGCTCTCGAGCGGCGGCGTGGAGCGGAGGTTGTTGGTCGCGGTGATGAGGCGGAGGAGGAGCAGGGTGTTTAGGAGGTTTCTTGATCTTGTGAGAGTCTTTGTGGACGCTGAGAGGTGAAGGGCGAGGACCAGAGATCTGAAGCTGACGTTTCTGGTTCTGTTGGTCGGAAAGGTTGCCGCCGGGGGAAGACTCCGACGGATCCATTTATGTTTTCTCTCTCTCTCGAAGTTAATTTTTGTGTTCTTGTTGTTTGGTTTGGGAATCGAAATGAATCTTTGTCGACGAGCTAATGTTGACCGAAACAATTATAAAACAAAACAAAAGTTTATTTGGTTTTTCAGACCGATAAGTTTGACTTTTAAAATGTTGACTTTTTGCATCCAACTAGTCTTTTACAGCACATGCTTCACCCAGTTTAGGAAGTTCTTAATCTTGTCTTTTTTTTTTTTTTGATAAAGGGCTAAGTTCTTAATCTTGTCTTCCATTGAGAATTTGTAGGAAAGTTCTGAGGAATCATTCGTTATTAGCGACAAGAACATTTTAATAATGTTTTTAGTGATTAACTTATGTGCTGCACAACTAACGAACATATTATTAATGATAATTAAATTCGTAATAAACCTGGCATTGCATGATATGTTTGGGAGTGATAGAACTAAACCTCAGATTAAACTAAGACCTACCCATTAACATGAATTGTCTCTCTTTGTTTCACAACAAATATCATGTTCCTAGTAATATATTTTTTTAGTAGAACGTTAGTACTTAGATTCAATATATAGTAGAGCTTGAAAATGTGTGATTGGCCTTACTAACCAATTAAATATGTAAAAGATAAATTAATTAATTTCAAGAATATAACAAAAAATATGTGTGTTTATGACTTTATGTTCCATGAAACCATGCTTATTTTAAATGGATCAAGTATGTAAGTAGTGTAATACTTCAACCTCCTGCCGGAAATTTCTTACAATGTTTGGTTCGATTATGTGTGCAAGCCTGTAATTATGTGATTGGGCGATTATGGTGACTTTTTGTTGTCCTTTCTCCAAAGAGAATCTGGTTATTGTTGGTTGACCCACAAATAGAAATTCCGGTTATTTTGATTGAACTTGAAAGTCATTTGGAAAATGGACTTTCATTTTTTAAAGCCCACATTCTGCTTCTAGTTTAGCCCAATCAATTAGTTAATCACTTAATCCGAGTGCAGTGAAACTTTCAGAGAAACTGGAATAGGAGTAATTAGAGTTTACAAAAAAAGGAAAACAACTCTACATTATTAGTGCTTCACGGTTCGTTGTAACTTGTAAGAGCACCTCCAATGGTGTTACCCACCATCGGAGTCCTTAGGAATAAAATATTTATTTTTTTTCTTTTGTTTTTTTTTTTGAATAGTTAAGTATTCTAATCAAAAATAGTCCTCCAATGGTGTTACCCGTTATGGAATCCTTAGAATTTTTTTTTTATTAAATTTGTCAAATATTTAAATTAATTTTTTTTATTTATTGAATGATTAAATGTAAACATACAATAATTAAACATTTTCATCATTACTAAACTTGTTTCTAATATTTTCAATTAAATCATACTTCAATTGTTCATGTATACTATCACGAACATGATTCCGTATGCCAAACAAATTCCAACAATGAATGAATTCTTGGTTGAGTTATTAGAGAACTTTAATCTATGCACATGAAATATTACGGTCTGTTGGTAATATAAAGATAGGGTATACAATATAATGTACTAAAAAGTATATAGCCTTGAATATCAGATTAGAAATTTGATTATGATGAACCACCAAAACAAGATGAAAGAAATGTATGATTCAAGGTGTTCAAGTAGGAATTAAAAAGACTTACTTCAAGAACTTCGATGAGAGAACGGGTAGGACCAGAATCAAGCTGCTTCATCTTCTTGGAAGTAACAGGAACCAACAAATCACGATCAAAATCTTTACTGAAACTCAGGATACTCTTTGGCGTAGATTCAAATTCTCTGATCTCGGCTTCGAGCTTGGTTTCTTCATATTGTAACCCTTGTATGTAACTAATAGCATCTTTGATTATTGATGCTTTATCCATCTACCAAAAAAAAAAACAGAATCCATAATAAACTAAATGCTACCCTCTTTGACTTTGAGCTCAACCAAATTTCAGTAAAAGAATCCAAGAACCTTGCCACCAACATTCTTCCTCCTTGCTTCTTCGTGGTCCATGATGCTGGCGGAAGTTTTCAGAACAATGTAACCAAACTGCACAGTTAAATAAAAACCAATGTCAAGACACAAATCATACGAGAAGGTAACATAAGGCATAAAAAGACCAAAGACAGACCTAGACTGTGCCTAAACAAAAGCACTATATCATACCCATCTCTTATCCACGTTTACATACCCCATTGCATTAAAACCTCTATCAAGCGCCTAAACAAAAGCTTATCTACTTTCAACAACGCAGCTCCTCTATCAAGCGCCTAACAGGTCTAGACTGTGCTATGCGTGTGTACTTCAGAAGCAAACCTTCCATAGAAAGTCTAGGAACATGAAGATCCCTGCAACAACAAACATTACAACACAATCAATTCATAAATCCAAAAAAAAACTCAAACGTCTGATAAAATCGTTACCTTAAGTAAGGCTCCAAGTCTTTCCACTCCCATTTCGGTCCATGTTTAAACAGCACTGCGAACCGTTCCGCTGGAGTTGACGGCAGAGACCGTACACTAAACTTATAAACCGTTGTCTCAATCCCAATCCTCTCTATCAAAACCTCACCTTCAAGCATCTCAAACTTCCCTTCCTCCTCTCTCACCACCCACTCAACTCCACTCTCCTCTTTTCACTGAAACCACCCCACAATCCCTAAGCCATCATGACCCACCACCAAACCCAGCGCCGTCGCCGTCGTCACTCCACCGTCTTTAACCAACCGCAAGGAAAGGAAGGAATTAGCAAACCTAAGTAAAATCCCTAATTTTTGCAAAATCCCCAAATCGATTTCCCTGAAAAAATCTATAAGAACTCACATTCAAACACCACAAACTATTGAAATCAACATGCAGTAACTCCAAATCGACAAAAAATCAAGTACAAGTCTTCGATTTACCTTGAACAACGATCGTCGCTTTTCGCCTTCTCTATCGCGAGAGATTTTTTTTTTTATGTTGCTCAATAGAATGAATTTTTTTCCCCCGTCAGACCCAAGCGAACCGGACACGTCAGCAAGGATCGGCCTCTTCCTCTCCTTATCTAAGGATTAATCCTTACCCGTAACAATAAATATATTAATTTTTTATTTACTTTTGCCAACGTGTCAATGCTAAGGACTTGTCTTCATCCCGCGTTGGACATGCTCTAAACGATTTATTAAATACTCCCTCCGTATACAAATATAAGATGTTTTAGTTTTCTTACTTGTATATAAATGTATGATGTTCTACCTTTTTGATCAAAAAAAAAAAAAAAGATGTTCTACCTTTTAGTTAATGCAATTTAATTCTAAAAATAATATAAAATAAAACTATAAAAAACTAAGTGGTTGAATTGTATAGGAAACCAAATAAAATTTTTAATTTATTGAAAATGAATAATAGATAAAAGTAAGCATTTTTTTAATATCTGTGAATAACCTTAAACATCATATAATTAAATCCAGAGGGAGTAGTAAGTTAGAAACAAACAAATTGATCATCTTAATGATAGTTAGACTTAAATCTAGTCCGTTTGAGACTTTGAGAGATGATTCAAGAATATTATGTACACCTTTTTTCCAAAGAAAAGAAAAACAAGAATATTATTACAAAGAAAAAAAAAACAAGAATATTATGTACACAGTGCACATTCTTTAATATATCGTAGTAAAACTAACAAATGAGAAAATACGATGTTCCCGTTAGCTGGTTTGAGTTTTTATTTATGTGATAAAAGATTCTTTATTATGATTAGTGTGTTTACAAGGAGTTTTAGCTGAAACCATACATAACCCGTTGAACCTTTAGCTTGTTTGCGTTTCTTCTGTTTTTCTTAACATATGTAATGTATATATTTTTTTGGAATATGCAGTCTTCAAATCATGGTGTTTTAACGTTTTGAGTCAAGTTTAGTGAAATAAAAGAACAGAAAAAAAAACTAAAAATCATGGTGTATGTTTTCAAAAGTTTTGGTGTATGTTTCAAAAGTTGATCAGACAGCCGGTCCAAAACTTTTGAAAAAATAAAAGAACAGAAAAAAATCATGGTGTATGTTTTCTTATGTTTTTCGTTGAAGATTTTTATCCGTGTCCAAGTTATGGCCGCTCTCAAAGGATGTCGTTCAATTGTTTTTGATGTTACGGATTTATCGAATTCACGAGACTCGTATAGTATATACTTATATTCCTTTCGGTATGAAGAAGCAAATGCATTAAGTTTCAACACTGATTACATATCTTTTGTCAATTTTGTCTCACCATTACCGTGCAGTTGCTGACGCCACCATCACTGAGCAGTTGTTCGGAATCTTTTTTTTTGTCTTTACAAATACATTATGCTTTTATCTTATAAAAAGACTATAAGTTACACATCAGACGTTAAATACAGCATTCAGATCAAAATACGAATAAAGGAGAGAACAGAAAGTGTGTATGTGAGAGAGGCATGACCATAAATGTTACAAATTCCTATAACAAAAAAGGAGAGTAAGCTGTAAAAAGGTGGTTTACAAGATTGAAACATTTGACACCATGCATTTTTTTAATTCAAAACTTTAGTCCAAAGGAACCTTATTCCTTTATTTTTGCTTAGTAAGCAAAATATATATAACCATCCAATTTACTCATACTAATACAACTTTTAGCCAGATTCAGTGGACCAAATTTTAGACTAATCTTTTTTCGATAAAAGTTTTAGATTAGTCTTATTCTTATTAGTACATGAAGCTGTCAATTGAATTTGATAGTACCAAAAGTTTGGGTGTTTAGCCAATGTAATTTCATACATAGCCTCAGCTAACAAATCCAAATAATCAGATGATGATAGTCAGTTGATTGATCCTTCCCTGTTATCAAACTACATAATTTTAAACCTATTAGAAACATGCCACTTTGAATTACTAATGTTTTAAGTATGATGGGAATTTAAAATATACACTACCTTTAAGCCATTTTTACTGTTAGAAAATAGTGTTATAAACACATAATAACAATTTGAAATATAGAAAAAATCAAAATTGGGTAGTTCTTAATTAAATTCTAGGCGAAACCAAAATTGAATATTCATGAAATTGATGACACTAACAAAAATTTTCTTGCTATGATTTACATTATCTACGTTCAAAATAGTTTGATAACATTTTTATATATTTTTTCTTATAACAGTAAAAATCAAAATGGCATAATATGAGTAGTCCTGGTCTCGTAAGCAACCAAACCGGAAGCAGACGACTTAACCTTCAAAACCTTAATCACATCTTTCGCCATTTGCCTCACCAACGGCGAGCAGTTACTCTGAATCACAACCAAAAGCTTACTCACGCCGTTACTCCTCTCCACCGTCTCCACCGTCTCCACAACCCTCTCATCCTCCCTAAAAACACAACAAAGACACCACAAAATCGTAACGGCGTGCTCCGTCGCCGTCATCGAAACCTTCAACAGCTTCCTCACCACTCCTTCCACGCACCTACCGCCGCAAATCTCCGATCTACCTTCCCGCTTCGACGAGAGAGTCTCCAACAGTTTCAGCGCTTTCTCGCTCACCGCGACGCTCGTCATCTCCTCCGTTACGAGAATCTCTCCGATCTTCGCGATCGTTTTCGCGGCGATTAGTTTCGATCTCACTCGTTTAGGTTTCGCGATCGTGATTAGGAACGATAGACTCGCTTCGATTAAAGAAGGATCCGACTCTTTACTTATTGATTTGATCATCTCCGTTAGAATCTCGTCGCGCTCTGCGATTAACACCTTAGATTGCGTGTCTAAGGAGGAGGCGATAATCTCTAAAACCCTAACGGATTCGATTTTCGATTCGAGATTCCCGCGCTGGACCGCGAGGAGAATAACCGTCAAGCAATGATCTCCACCGTTGGATAAGATTAGATTCGATAACCGTTTTAGATCTCCATCACTCCCTCTCTTGGTTACATTATACAAAATCCTAACCGCTAGAAAAACTAGCTTCATCTTCTTCCTCGTGGAGATGATATCGACGAGCATTGTTATTAGATCCTTTCTCGCCGAGAGAAACTCTCTGTTCGCGTCGGAATCCTTAACGATTCTCGAGAGATTCTCGAGACGAGTCTCGTCGTCCTTCTCGAGAGTTAGTTTCATCAACGACTTGTTCACTTCTTCAACCGTGGGGATCGTTAGAGAAGTCACGGGAGAAGCGGTGGAGTAACGGCCGATTGAATCTGACCAGGATTTGATTAGTCGTTGAAGAGTGAGGTTGGGAATGAACTCCTTGGTTCGGAGAATCTGCATAGTGGCGGGACACGTGTTGTTGCCTCCGTCGAGCCATCTCTGGATGCTTGCACGGTCGTAAGTAACGCCGGTGCAGAGACTAACGGGAGATTTCATCACGTCGAGAGATATTGGACACTTGAAGAAGGTAGGAACCGTAATGTACGGCTCCGTTTCATCTCTCCTCATTGATTTCGTAGAAAAATTAAAGTCAGAGAAAATGCGGGAAAATAAAAGTTAAAAAGAGGGGATGGTGATGATGGTATTGGTAAGTGAAAGGTGGGGGAAGGAAGTGAGTGGAGGTGGTTTTAAAGACAGAGTCAAACGGCACGCTTGCGTCACCCTTCTACCTTTCTCTTCGTAATATTCTTACTTACAATGTTCAGTAAACATTCTTTTTCTTTATCAGAAAACATTCGGTTCTAAATATTCGCCGGACATGACAGTTTCGTATATATCTGGATGACTGGGTATATACGGCTACAAAAATGTGTATAAAACATCCTCTAATATTAAAAATGTTAAAGCGAAATATAAATTGTAAGCTAGATACTTCCTCTAATATTATTATCTTCAGTCAAGTTTAAGAGGGAACCGTAATAGTAGCTCTCATACGGCTGGGTGTATTATTTGCTAAATCGTTTCGATTCAAATATCTAAACAAAATTGATTTTAAATCTACTAAAAACAGGGCAAAATAAAAAATTTAAGAAGCATATATCCACTCTATAATATTTATTCGTATAAGCATATCTATAATAAAATATATATTTTTAAATATATAAGTTTATATAAATATTATTTTAGCATATGAATTAATAAATTATATTCAAAGCATTACTTATAAAAATAAAACAAAAGTAATATAATATTTTAAACAATTGAAAGATTTATGAAATGTAAGTTTACCTATTTTAAACTTTATATTATGTAAAGACATTTTAGAAAACAAAATTAGCAAGTTTTTAAAAAATATTATTTATATTGGATAAGGTGAATGAACGATTTAAAAATACGTAAAAAATCACGAATATATTTTAATGTATATTTGTATTTAAAAAGCAAATATCCACTCTATAATATTTATTAATATAAGTATATCTATAATAAAATATATAGTTTTAAATATATTATATTATTATTATTTTAGCATATGAATTTAATAAATTATTTTCAAAACATTACTTATAAAATTATTAAATCAAAAAGTAAAATAATCTTTTATTTCAGCTATAAATTTTGTTGACCTATTTCTTAAACATTTAAATAATTAAAAAAAATTTTGAAATATAAATAACTATTTTTAATTTTATATTATGTAAAGATATTTTAGAAAATAAAGTTGTGAGTTGTTTTAAATATTTTTTGTAGTGATAAAGTGAATAAGCGATAGACAAATACATATAAAGATCCACAAATATACTTGTATTTTAGATATACAATTCCTTTGAGAATATAAATCAAACATTAATATTTATAAAATATATAAAAGTCGTAAACATTAAATAAGTCTGATATTTTAATAGTATTTTTTTTTTACTGATTTTAATAGTATTTGTTGCATGTCCTTTCTTTGCAGATCATGTTTAAAAATTTAACATATAATTTAAATATTTTCATCTATCTTGATTATTTAATATTTTGCACACTCTTTTGTTATAGGTAATTTGTATTTATGTAGATAATAAAAAATATTTTATTTTTATTTTTTTCTAATGTATGTAAAAACTTGGAATGGGATAATTCTTGTATCTATTTAACAAAACATTGAGAGATTCAACTAATACTAGTTGGAAAAACTGATATCTGTTGGAAAGAAAAACTAAAATTTGTTGGTCTCGAGTCAACAATCAAAGCTCGTGCGTGAGTGTCTCGCTCGGTCAAATGTCGTAACCGCTATCTTAGTCTTAGTTCTGTGGTTTTGACGGGAGCTTTGACCAACTATGTTGATGTTTATACACGTGTGAGTTAGTAGGCCAGAATCGTGTGGATAATCATGGGACCCATATTATACACAAGGGGCCTCCGATCTCGTCGAGGGCACAACGCACATGGACTTAGTCCATCTCTGTCTTAATTTATAATAGTACATTTTTAATGGAAAATAAAGGTTAATGTTTAAAACATTTCTTTTATCAGAAACCATACAATCACTACAAAGAAATATTATTTGTGTTAAGTACTAACGCAGAACAACTCCGACTCAACAAATTTCAAAATGTGTACTGCCCTTGAGCGAATTATACTTTTGACATTTAAATTTGTGAAAGATGTAGTAAAATGTTAACAATATAAGTTGTGTTTTAGCTTCTTCCACTACGGATAAAGAAAGAAAAAAGTACTATTCGAGTGAAGATGTTTGATTCGGGGTGGAAAGCAAAAGCGTTTACTTTTTGTGAATTGTCGTTTTTTCGGTCACTAATATGTTTATTAGATAATTTCACTTCTTGTGATGAGCAATAACGTATTCTATAGATTAGAAAAGTATCCGAACATAATTTTACTTTGGTATGAATGCTAAGAAGATGGTTAGTTGACTCAATATGGTTAACCTGCCTGATTGTCTAATGAAGATATATAATTGACTAATTAATTAGGGGTTGCATGAATATATAGTTAATGGAAATAATACACATTCAATGGATTTGAGTCTGAGCTTTCTGTTTATTTGTTAATTATTGCTTTATAATGCTCACGTACGGTTGTGCCATTACATAAGTTTTAAAGGACAAAATAAGGGTTGTGTCCTTTGCATTTAGTATAAGTCTGACTGATGCGATTTGGTTTTAGTACAATTGTTTTGTCTAAGTTTTTTTCTTTCACTTAAAAGTGTGTGAAGTGCTCTTTTTCTCTCTAGTATTTTCAGTTGGTTTACCACCTCTCCCTTGCTCCATTGATTTATTTTTGTATGGATAATTTAATTGAGTGATCTTATATATACTCAATTACTCTTACATTGAGTTTTTAAAATTAACTGAAATTATATTATTATTTGTTGTGCGGTGTATGATGAAAGCAGGGTGACAGAAAGTTGCTGGCCTAATCTAAAAATCAAACTTAGGTGTTGAAAACATTTCGGTATTTCATAGGTAGGAAACGGCTGAAATGCTCGCTGCCTCGTACGAAACCATTTATTTTGCATTAATGTAATTAAGTTATTCATAATTAGGTCAAGTGTGAGTTAGGTTTAGTGTAATTAAACAGAAATGATCATGAGTTGTAATCGCTTAGACCATCTCCAAGACACCACCACCATAAAAATCACTAAAATAGAAATGAAAGTTTTACTCTAACATGTTCCTTCACAATAAGGAGAGCTATATTTATCTTAATTATAGAAAACACATTTAAACAAAAATATCAGTTGACAAAAAAAATAAAATAAATAAATATCATTTCTATTTGAGCGATATCTAATATAGAGATGAGTTTGAGATGTTCTATAAGAATATAAAATTTTAGCAATCCTTAAATTTAACTCCATACAAGTATTATTCTTTTTCGTTTCAATTTAGTTTTTGTCGTAGAGTAAAATTTTTGTTTCAAATAATTGTCGATTTACGATTCTAATGAAAAAATATTAATTTATTAATTCTATAGACTATTATTTTTTATCGGTTGAGTTGTAGTTAGATTTATAAATAATGATATTTTCATTTAGAAAATTTTAAATTAATTTTTTTATCAATGTGCATAAATTTAAAACGACAATAAAATAAAACAAAGCAAGTAGTATTTAAGAATGTAAATAAAATATAAATATCATCTACACATGTTTCACGTAAAGTAAGAAATAAAAAATATATTAATATATTCTTATTTAATATACAATTGTTTACATAAATAATCTTAAAAATATATATTAGTTAGTTAAAAAGTAAGAAAAAAATAAGTGTAAAGAATTTCATTGAAAAAATAAAGTGGTATTTTTTTGAAACAACAACAAATGGTAGATTATATAATTGGGGAGATGAATTTCTCATTAACAGAAAATATGTATTACTACAGAAAACTACTAAGGTGAAATGGGTAAAAACGAGATTTACGTCCTACTTTTTGCTTCTAGCATGTTGTCTAGTAAATACATTTTCAATGTTAGGTCTGCGTATCTATAAATAGGGACAATCCGATCCCCAATAATTTTAACGAGTATCATAAAACAATTCATAACAAACTTTTGGTTGAGTTTCCCATAAAACTAGAACCCACAACTACATACACTTATATAATATATACATATACACATATATTTTTAGAACCCCAAATTTAAAAACTCCTAATAATGTTGCTCTCATAAACTTGAATTCAAAACCTACCATATTTTTTTTTTTGATAAAAAAACCTACCATATTTTGCATGTTATGAGATTTGGTTATCAAATTTCCTGCATGACTGCATGGTGCAGAAAAAAGAAAACCCATAATATCTCAGCTCCTCCTAACTCATCTACTACAAACATAGATTGTTGTTACGATAACTACATGTTTTCCGTGAATTTACAATCTATTTTATGAGACTAGATGTTCAGTTATAAAGTTTTAGCATATATGCAGGCCTGGTCCAGGGCACATACCAAGTAAGCCATTGTCTAGGGTCCAAACAAAATTTTGGCCCTTTTAGGCTTAGAGAATAAAAAGGTATTTTTTAATAAAAAAAAAGAGCATATTTTCCAAATTAAAATAGGGCCCCCTGCTGGGTTGGACCGACCCTGCATATATGGTATCGATTAAATGGCAAAAGACAATTCTGCATGACGCGTATTCTTAGTCACAAAAATGATGCGTATTCAAGAACTAGCTCTCCACAATACTGATGGTCCAAATAGTACAAAATAAATATAAGAGGATAGAGACATGAAGAAGAATCGAGTTCTAAGTGGGACTGTGTTTCATATTATTCAGAGGTTGCTAGGGGCAGATGCAACTAGTTTGCATCACATGCAAAAAAAAAACAATATCCAATATCACGTTCTGATCGACGTCAGCAGCATCCAAATCCAATTCTTAGTGAGTTATATATGAAATTTTTATAGTTTTTGTAACGAATTTATCAGATCTGATCAGCTTTTATTATTCAGGTTCATGCATGGTTCAGGTTCAACACTAGGTATTTATTAGTAAACATCTTATTTCTCATTAATTAATCTGAAATGTACAAATGTGTTTATATACATGATCTGACCAACTAAA